CTCAAACACTGACACTTAACCATCACGTAACAATAACAGGAATTTTCTTTGTTCTTGGGACTAAAATTCTTTACAATAATAAACCGAACGCAAGGTATCATGAGGTGGATATAGTGTGTTCGTGTGAGAAGGAAAATATATTATACATTTTTCTGGAGACGTTCGCTTCTTTGTGACTTGGAATTATGGTGTTTAATGGCGAGTTGATTACTGTAGTGTAATGACGCGGTGTGTGTGTGTGTGTGTGTGTGTGAGAGAGACACAGACAGACAGACACAGACCACAATATATCTCACCCAAACAACAACAATTCACAACTACCAACCAATCACCCGCTTTAAACAATAACAACAAGACCATAACTAACCAATTAACCACAACCACCATCCAATAACCAACCACCACATCTAAGCAAACCAAAACAACAACAACTGAGTACTACCAACACCCACCATCCCATAAACTACCACCACTACCTGGCACATAAGTCCTTGTGGCACGAGGCCCTCCCACGCTGATTAACGACCCAACTACCCGGCGATGGTAGAATTATCTGTTTCCGACCCACTGCCGCGATCGACCGACACACACACACACATACACACATACACACACACACACACATACACACACACACACGACGATGGCAACCACTAAAATACGTCTCTCTCTCTCTCTCTCTCTCTCTCTCTCTCTCTCTCCTCTCTCTCTCTCTCTCTCTCTCTCTCTTTCACTCTCAATAGACGATAGGGAGGGGTGAGATGAGAGATAGTGAGAGAGAGGAGGAGGGGAGGAGGGGAGGTGGGGAGGTGGGGAGGGGGTAGGAGTAAGGGGAATGTGTCCTAATCGAGCCTAACTAACTTAATAATAATAATAATAATAATAATAATAATAAAGAAATAAAAAATGAAAAACATCATATATGGGAAACAATATATGCACGTTGTGTTGTCAATATATTCCCCAGCATTCATATACATTACTACAGGTCATATACATAAACATATACATTGACTACACAATCCTTCACCACCAGATCACTTCAAGAAGATAAAACGCCTTTTTATTATATGTATCTATATAGGGCGTGAGAATATAAATGGAGGTGTTTTATATATATTTTGATGTATATGGAAATTTATACATATATATTATTTGTCTTTATATATATATGTCGTGACGTTTCTGTACTTATATCTATACCTGTACTTATACCTGTACTTATACCTGTACTTATACCTGTACTTATACCTGTACTTATACCTGTACTTATACCTGTACATATACCTGTACTTATACCTGTACTTATACCTGTACTTATACCTGTACTTATGACTCAAACAACATCACATTGCCTGACCACCACACAGCCTGACCACCACACAGCCTGACCACCACACACAGCCTGACCACTACACAGCCTGACTGACACACAGCCTGACCACCACATTGTGCCTGACCACCATTGACAGCTCCCGACCACCACACAGCCTGACCACCACACAGCCTGACCACCACACAGCCTGACCACCACACAGTCTGACCACCACACAGCCTGACCACCACACAGCCTGACCACCACACAGCCTGACCACCACACAGCCTGACCTGCACCATGGAGCGATTACCTCTTCCGTTTATTGGCGTTGCCTTGAGCGATCGATTTATGGCGCGGAGAGCTGTGGTGTGTGGCCTGCCTAGTGATGGGTGACGAGAGAGAGAGAGAGAGAGAGAGAGAGAGAGAGAGAGAGAGAGAGAGAGGTGTCCAGTTTAAGGAAAGCTTGTTAATTATTGTTGGTAGTGGTGGTGGTAATAGTTGTAGTTGTGGTAGCTGTGACGATAGTGGTAGTAATAGTAGTGGTAGTCAGCTTAAAATAATAATAATAAATGAATAAATAAATAAATAAAACCAACATATAATTCAACACAATACAATTTATTTTTCATTTATTTCCATTCCCTCTTTATTCATTTATCTCTATAATTATCACCTTACTTCATTATTCCTCTTATTGGATATATTTCTATTTATTTATATTATTTAATTATTATTCTATTTTGTCTCTTTTTCTGTTTCTTTATCATTTTTCCTTGTTTTTATTATTTTATTTCTTCATTTATTCTTTTTCTTCTTTAATTTCTACTTTGTGTTTTTATTCAAGTAATTTATTACCTTGATTTAATATTTTATTTTATTTGTTTAATTTTAATCCTGAAAAAATAAGGATTTGATTTTTATTATGTTTAGTAAATAAAAATAATTACGATGACAAGTATAATAAATAAATAAATTACTAAATAAATTAATAAATATAACAATAAATTTAGTAAGAAAAAAGTTTAGATATTTTGTTAAAAGTTTCGGATTTAAAAGTTGCTAAAAGTTTATCTAAGAATTTGTTGTTACTTTTGGGATTTTGAGGTGAGAGAGAGAGAGAGAGAGAGAGAGAGAGAGAGAGAGAGAGAGAGAGAGAGTACACTAACAACCAAGCGAGAACAATCATTACAACAAATGACAAGGTCGTTAAGCCAGTTCTAATCACATTGTTAGTTCATCAATTAACTTCTACCCGTATTGACTAAATGATCGTTAAGCCAACCATACCGTCGTTAAACCAATCAAATGAGCAGTTACATCCGTTGAACTTATTACAACAGGTGAATGGTCGTTAATAATAATAATAATAATAATAATATCTCCAGAATCAATATTTTTTTTTCAAATTAATTTCGCCAGTGGAATAAAATTTCTACTCGGGAAATAAATTTATCGCTGGAATTTTCTTGAGTTCATTTTATTGTTATTTTAAAATCAATTAGTTATTTTATTTGGAATTAAAAAATAAAAATAAAAATACAGTTAATATTTAGTTTTACTCTTATTATTATTATTATCATTATTATTATTATTATTATTATTATTATTATTATTATTATTATTATTATTATTATTATTAATTATTATTATTATTATTATTATTATTATTATTATTATCATACAAACAAAAATAAAGGAATAATGTTTTTCAAGACTTAAAATTCTCAATACTGTTCAGAATTTCGTATTTAAAATTTTTAGTTTAGATTTTTAATGAATGAAATTGTAGTAGAATTTATTTCCAATTTTGATCATAATTTTTAATATGTGAAGTTATGAATGATTTCTTATTAATATAGATTTTTATATAATTATTTTGTTTGCTGATATTATAGATAATAATAATAATAATAATAAGATATAATGATAATAATATGACTAACTATGACAACAACAACCACTATTACAACCACTATCACCACCACCATCACATCTACCACCATCACAACTACCACCATCACAACTATTATATTGTACCAAGACCCACAACCACCATTATCACTTACTCTAATGCTCCAATAACTACCATAACTACCACAACCAACACAACCACAACAACCAACACAACAACAACAATCACCACAATCACAACTACCACCACAACAATCTTGGTAGACTACTTTGAAAAGGTCACTATTTGGGTTATAAAATTCGCTAATAACACGAAAAGTATTAATGTAGAGAAAAATTATATACAGTATATATTTGTCAGAATATTAAAATATGATTGGAAAGGATATTTGTAGTTTGTATTGATCCAATGACAAAATATGGCCAATCGTATCAAATTAATGGATTGAAAATGTTCACGAGAATTACTAAAAAATTTATTTATACTTCTGATTGTAAGGAAAGGTTCGGTTACTACTGGTAAGAGGGCTGGTTCACGAGTGGAGATTATGATTCACAGTTTATGTACTGGTGATATAAGAAGATTGGGCACTGTGGTACTGATTGGGCGCTGGGGTACTGATTGGGCACTGTGGTACTGATTGGGCACTGTGGTACTGATTGGGCACTGTGGTACTGATTGGGCGCTGGGGTACTGGATTGGGCACTGTGGTACTGATTGGGCACTGTGGTACTGATTGGGCGCTGGGGGGCAATGATAAGCACTGTGGCACTGATTGGGCACTGTGGTATCCGATTGGGCGCTAAGTTGATTGGGCGCTGGGGTACTGATTGGAAGCGCTGGGGTACTGATTAAGCACTGGGGTACTGATTGGGCGCTGGGGTATTGATTGGGCGCTGGGGTACTGATTGACGCTGGGGTACTGATTAAGGCTGGGGCATTGATTGGGGCGCCAGTACTGAATCTTCCGTAAGTATCCGCCGACAGATGTTATTAGTTCAGATTAGATTTGAATCCTTATGTCAGGGCAACACACACACACACACACACACACACACACACACAGTTCACCCTCCAGTCTCCCAATACTTGAACGATTGAATCCTAATCGCGCGTGAAATTGATCTCAGTAATTTACATAAAAGATACGTACAGTATTGATGTAAGTTTGTAAACATGTTTGGCTTGTGTGTGTGTGTGTGTGTGTGTGTGTGTGTGTGTGTGTGTGTGTATATATTATCAACAAACATATACACACACACACACTCTTCATAGATCTATATACATTATCTAACAAGGTGATTACAGGCTACTGGGTTGTTAGGAGTACAAACATACATACACACTACCAAAGAAACACACAAACAAATAAAATTAATAGATCTGTATAGTTTAATATATAGTACTGGGATTAATAAGTAGATATGTTTACATTATCTAGCAAGTTAAGTAACAAGTTAAGTTAGTTAATAATATTCAATTACCGTCACTTAACAAGCTGGCCATTAGAGAGGAGTGGTAGTTTAATGTTTCCTTACTTCCATTTTCCTTTACCCATTTTCCCCTCACCCTCCCTTCCCCTCCATTCCCCCATTTCTTTAACCCTCTTTCTCTCTCTCCCACCTCATCCTATTCCCTTCCTTCTATTCTTCCTTCCTTCCCCCTCTCTCTCCCCTTTCCTTCATTATCTCACTCACTCCTCTTCTCCCGTCAATGGTGAGAACAAAACACACTTACTGAGGGAGTTATCATTATTATTGTTTGGTAATAATTAGATAAAATTATGTACATATAGTAAAGGACCTCCAGGCGGGAAGTGGTTCACGGGTGGGGAGATGAGAAGAGGAGGAAAGGGGAGAGGAGGAGGAGGAGGAGCAGCAGGAGGGAGAAAAAAGGGAGAGCATGAGGAGGAGGAGGAAGAGGAACAAGGAGGCGAGATTGTGTATAACAAATACCACCAAATCTTCATTTTTCTCGTCCTTAACTTCCTCTCTTCCTCCTCCTCCTCCTCCACACATCGCCTGGAGGTATACACAGTGTACGTAACAACAGGTGTACACTGTGAGACTCTGACACTACTACAGTACAGTGGACATCGGCTAACACGTTCCTCTACCCCACACAAACCCGCCTCAACCTGGCAGATGGCGAGCGAACCTTAGCCTGACGTATAGAGTCTGTAAGCCTTGTGGGGTCGAGGGGGGCTGGCGAACGTTAGTCTGGCGTCGGGTGAATAAGTCTTGTCACTGAGGGCCAAGGGGAGGCTGGCGAACGTTAGTCTGGCGTAGGGTGTATAAGTCTTGTCATTGAGGGTCAAGTGGAGGCTGGCGAACGTTAGTCTGGCGTAGAGTCCATAAATCTTGTCACTGTGAGGTAAGAGATAGGCTGACGAACGTTAGTCTGCCGTTATTGTGAGATTAAAAACAACGCCAGGCAGAGTCAAGTCTCTTACCTGGTGGTATTATCTTGTCCATCGTCAGCACAAACGAACAGCAACGCCTTATTAAACCTGTGCCAGACTATGGTTCGCTCGTCTTCTGCCAGGGGTGGCGATCTTTGTAATGCAGGAGTATTGCACCTTTACTAGTAGTGTGAATTATTGCAATTTGTGTCATGGCCTTGTTGTCATGGCCTTGTTGTCATGGCCCTAATAATGTAATGGCCCTAAGAGTGTCCTGGTCTTAAGTGTGTCTTGGTCTTAAGTGTCTCATGGTCCAAAGTGTGCCCTGTCCTAAGTGTGTCATATCCTTATGTTTGTCATGCCCTTAAGTGTGTCATGGTCCTAAGTGTCTCATGGCCTTAAGTGTGTCATGGTCTTAAGTGTGTCATGGTCCTAAGTGTCTCATGGTCTTAAGTGTGTCATGGTCCTAAGTGTGTCATGTTCACTCACGACACATTTCACACTTTAGATATCTGGGTGCGACAGGTCTGATATTTTTTCTCACGATGACACATTTCCACACTAGTTACGTCCATTATGGGGCGGCAGTTACTTTCCACCACGACACATTTTCACGAGTTTGTTTTCACATTTGGACACTGTTTAGGTGCGACAGTTCTCTCTCCCACTACAACACACCCATCCAGTCACTGAGGGCGCGACAGGGTCTTTTCTACTACACATTATTACGTTATAGTCTTATATGTGTGCGACAGGTTCTTGACACTATATGGGTGCGAGAGGACATCCCATCTATCTCCACGACACAGCCTGGCACTACAGTCCCATCTGAGCGCCACATGACACACCGTGGCACTGTGACGTCACTCTGGGGATCACCGTCAGTCTTAAGAACTAGTTAGAGAATTGAACAGATTTTCACAGAAACTCTACAGCAGTCAGAGGTCTACCTCACTACATCACCATCACTCACTGCATGGTGCTACACTAAGGCACACGGTGAAACATACTGTACTGTACTGTACTGTACCAAGGTACTATTGTTCTGCACATTTCACCTTCGTGGGGCCGTGTGTCTCTCACAGGTCATAAATGTTTCCTTATGTCTCTCTCACAACACAGAGGTCAGTAAGACTAGCCGGGCGTTTGGGGTCACCAGCGCGCGGAGGTGTGGGGCGTCGTCGACGGCACTGGCGAAGCTCCGACGGTGGTGGTATCGATGATGCCGGCGCTGCTGGTGACAGGGGAGGTGGCGCGAGGTGAGGAGAGGGACGTTGCCGGTGACGAGGACGCCGATCGACTCCCACCGCCGCCCTCCAGTACCTTGATGGGGGCGCGGTGGTGGTGGGTGGCCGAGGTGGCGGTGGTGATGGGCGGGGTGGTGGAGAAGAGAGGCAGGGGCGTGTTGGAAAGTGAGGAGGCCGTGGAGAACAAGGGGTGAGACGGCAGGAGAAGCGAGGAGGTGAGGGAAGCCGCCAGGGCGTGAGGCAGATGGGACTGTGTCAGGGCTGGCGGCATAGAACCCAGTCGCAGTCCTCCTGATGCCCCGAAGAGCCCCGAGAACAGCCCGGGGAAGGCGACGGGTGGCGAGAGGTGTAGCGGAGGGGCCAGACGAGGGTCTAGGAGAGAGGTGGTGTCGTGGGGCATTCCGTCCGTGCGTCCACCGCCGCCATGTACAGACGACAACCTCTCACGGACCAGCAGGGGCACCGTGAGTCGTCGCAGGGCGCTGGGGAGCGACCCTAGAGAACTGGCTGACGACACGTAAGGGTTGTCTAGCGACGGAGGAAGACCTTTCTCGCGGTACAGCTTCTTCGTCTTGTATCGGTGATTCTGAAACCATATCTTTACCTGCGTGGGCGTAAGGTTAATTAGCGAGGCCAGGTGTTCCCTCTCAGGTGCTGACAGGTAACGCTGCTGGCGGAAACGTCTCTCCAACTCATACGTCTGAGACTTAGTGAAGAGGATCCGCCTCTTCCTCTTGCGGCCATGTACCTCCCGCCCGTCCTCGGCATCATCCTCGACCTCCACGGCCTCCATGTCTTCGTCCACCTGGAAGCCGTCCTCGGCGACATTAGTGTTCTCGGTGGAGTCTGCGGCAGCCTGGACGGGGTTGCGGTCATCGACGAGGTGCGGCGGTGGGAGGGTCTTGGTGGCGTCGCCTGAGTCCCCCCGCACCACCAGCGTCTGCCCGCCCACTGAGGAGGACAAGAGCACGTCACACTACTGCTGCCAACACCTTATTAACACTACACTACACTACATCGTCTTTACACTACGACATCACCATAACTAGATCACTACATTATCTTAACACTATACCTCACCTCATTAATACTATATGTTCATTATACTACACTACATCATTATTATTACCACTATACCTTCACCATCACTACACTACATCATTATTATTACCACTATACCTTCATCATCACTACACTACATCATTATTATTACCACTATACCTTTACCATCACTACACTACATCATTATTATTACCACTATACCTTCACCATCACTACACTACATCATTATTATTACCACTATACCTTCACCAACACTACACTACATCATTATTATTACCACTATACCTTTACCATCACTACACTACATCATTATTATTACCACTATACCTTCACCATCACTACACTACATCATTATTATTACCACTATACCTTCACCAACACTACACTACATCATTATTATTACCACTATACCTTTACCATCACTACACTACATCATTATTATTACCACTATACCTTCACCATCACTACACTACATCATTATTATTACCACTATACCTTCACCAACACTACACTACATCATTATTATTACCACTATACCTTTACCATCACTACACTACATCATTATTATTACCACTATACCTTCACCATCACTACACTACATCATTATTATTACCACTATACCTTCACCAACACTACACTACATCATTATTATTACCACTATACCTTTACCATCACTACACTACATCATTATTATTACCACTATACCTTCACCATCACTACACTACATCATTATTATTACCACTATACCTTCACCAACACTACACTACAGTGTCACCTTCATCACCATAGCGACCTATCATCATTTTGACACTACATCCTCACCATCATTACTATCATTTATCTCTTAATACCACCATCATCAACATCATCATCATCATCATAATCATCATCATCATTGTGTTATCACCGTAACTACTACACATTCTCAGCACCAGTATCACGCATCATAACCATTCTGCTCACCACTACACACCATCACCACCACACTGCCACCATTACCACACATCTTTGAGTTTGACTTAACGTAAGACTAACACCAGCACGAGCCTTCAGAAGCGTCTGGCGTTCACTCTTCAAGCCTGCATGACCCCTACAACGCCACACGAACGTACGCTTACCTTCCTTCACCTAGCAATGACAAAACTTACGGAAGAAAGAAGTATAACTAACGCCTGGCGAATGTTTGCTTTAAGGTAGAAGCTACGCCGGGCAAACGTTTTAACGGCAAAGACACAACACTCAAGACACGGCAAATTACAGCAACACACAGCAACACGCAGGATACGGCAAGACACAGCAACACACAAGATACGGCTACACACAGCAACACACATAGCAAGACACAAGACACGGCAAATTACAGCAACATACAGCAACACACAAGACACAAGACACAGAACACAGCAACACACAGGGCACAGCAAGACACAGAACACAGCAACACACAGGGCACAGCAAGACACAGAACACAGCAAGACACAGGACACAGCAACACACAGGACACAGCAACACACAGGACACAGCAACACACAGGACACAGCAACACACAGGACACAGCAACACACAGGACACAGCAACACACAGGGCACAGCAACACACAGCCCAGTATAACAGCAGCTGTGGTGACGGAGGAGAGAGAGTGAGTGAGTGAGGTTCTCTTACCTTTAGTCGGTCTGTCGGGGAGCTGAAGGAGGTCCCTGACGGAGAAGCTGGTGACCCTACTGCTAGCTGACCCTTCCTGTTGCTGCTGCTGCTTCTGACCCACACACACGACCCGAGGGAGGGAAGAGAGGAGAGCAAAGGTCAGGTCAAACAGGTCAAATAATACAACTATATAACTTACTTCAACAATATCAAACGGGTCTATTAATTACGACTAAACAACCATTAATCATCAAAGTAAACATTATATCTTTTATCATTATCTCGTAACTAATTCACTAAGTATCATTATAGAGGGAGGATATTATCATCATTAGAATAACTACGGTTTTAAGTTTCATCTCAAGTGGTTAAAAAAAATAGTTGCTTGACATTTATCTAGTGGCGGTGTTGTCAGGTACCTGGGACCCCCACTTACCATTTCCTGGTCACTAATATTGCAACTCTCTTTGTAAGGCATGGATGCCATTCACGCGGTAAAAAAAAAAGTAAAACAAAAAAAGGCAAGAACACTAAAGCTCTTATATTTGCTTGTCCACCTAAGCTAGTTCTCAACAAACTAGCCAGAAAACTGTTGTGAGGCTTTGTTGGCGATGGACGGTTGTTGTGGCTGGCGGGGAGGGGGCGGGGTCACGCTCGACGGGTAGGAGGAGCCTCTTACCCTCACCAACCAATAGGAATCCTCAGCGGCGCCAACACTCGCCTGGAAAATGATGTCTTGTGTTTCTCTCCCGCGGGGGAAATGGAGTCCAATTCTTTTTTTTCTCTCTCTCATCTTTTTTTTTTTTCTGCTATCAGCCTTCGCCAACATGATTCTCGTTTCCTTTATTAAAAATTTTCTGATGTGTCTATTATTAAAACGAGGAACGCCCATCACAACCCCTCCACAAGCTATAAAGTTGTAATCTACCCCCAACTGATCTGTGAATATTACCAACAACCCCCCACTTAAAAACCCCCTCACTCCGTTTTCTTTACCTACTTCCCCTGCAGCCCGACACAGCCACCCGGGGTATAGGCATATGCTCTCGCTGGCCCCCAAAAGAGGAACCATAAATAAAATGCGGTGGTTGTATCGTTAAGACTTTTAATAGTGTGAAGCGTTTAGCCAATCCGTGGGTGAAGTGAAACGCCCCACCACAGGCCAGGGTCTTTGTCCGGGCGGGTGTGTAGCTATTGTGGGTGTGTAACCGACCCTAGTGGAGTAAGGGGCAGTAAGGGTATGAGGCAGAGGGGTAAGGGGAGGGGGTGCATGAGAGGGGTAAGGAGGGGTTAGGTGGGTGGGGGGCAGATGGGTAAGGAGGGGGTAGGAGGGTCGGTGTTCAAGCCCCCTTTGTCACCAACTACTACATTGGGATTTGACCCCCCCTTTTCTCCCTCCCTCTCTCACTCTCTCAATCCCTCTCTCACTCTCTCACTCCCTCCAATCCTATGCCTAACACATCTACTACCACTATTACCATTAGCGCTACTATTATTACTACTATCACCACCACTATTGTAACCACTATCAGTACTACCATTATTGCTACTACTACAACGTCCACAAATACTATTATTATTAACACAATCTTCACTATTACTACTACTACTACATACCACCACCTACTACTACTATCACTACCTGCACCACCACCACTACTACTTCTGCTACTATTACTACTCGTCATTGGTAACTCAGTATTCATATTCAATTCATCTCTCTCTCTTTCTCTCTCTCTCTCTCGCCCTTCATGTATACCTTCCCTCTTCCCCACATATCCCCTCCTCCTCCAAACTTATCCTCCCTTTCCCCTCCCTCTTCTCACCCTCTCACTCTCACGTACCCTTCCTCCCTCTCACCCCCTCTCACACGGTTACACATTATTGATTTCATAAGCTCTCTCTTCTCAGGGGTGGGCATTCTTCCCCCCTCCTCCCTTCCCTCTCCCTCTCCCTCTCCCTCTTCTTCTCCCCCTCCCTCTCCCTTTCTTCCAGGGTGGTACTGGAACCCTCTTAAACTTCCCTGGAAAGCCCCCTTGATCGCTCTTGGAAACCCTCTTACAAGTCCTGGGAAACCTCTTGATCGCACTCGGAAACCCTCTTAGGATGTCATGGCAGCCTCCACACACGTCCTGCTATCAATCACCTCTCTTGGAAGCCTCTTGGTTGGTGCTGGAAACCCTTTAGAGTATTTTGGCAGCCTCATGGAAGCCTTTTACCACCTCAGAGACCTTACAGATTGTCCTAAATGCCTTAGACTGTCACAAAACCTTTTAGACTGTCACGGAAGCCTCTTAGACTGTCACGAAACCCCCCTTAAACTGTCACAGAAACTTCATAGACTGTGAGAGAAGAAAATTAGATAACAAATGATAATAAAAATAAATGACAAAAGAATATTACAAAGAGAAAGAAGAGATAACGTTGATAAATGGAGAATAAGTAATAATAACCAATAAACGAAAGGAACCATAAGGAAAATGAAATAAATATAAATAAAGGAAAACCGTAAATAAATTGAGGAATAAAATAAAGTCGATAAGAGAAATGATAAAGCATGATAATGAGAATGAAATAGAATAAGAATGAAGGAATAAGATGAAAGAAAGAAGAACAGTAGAGAGAAAGAGAAAGTAATGTATAGAGAGAGAGAGAGAGAGAGAGAGAGAGAGAGAGAGAGAGTAAAACGGTATAATAAATAGAGGAAACAACAATAATGACCAATAAAGCAAAAAATAACAACAGTCAACAAAAAACAATAAATAGAAAAACAAAGAAAATAACAAAGAAATATAATTACTTAAGACAAACAAACACACAATTAAAACAAGAAAACAAACAAATAGAACAAAATAAATAAAGAGACGAGGAAATGAGACGAAAAGATAAATAAGTAATAATGAATAAAAGAAGATAAATAAGGAAATGAATAAGACAGGCAGTAATGGTGGTAGATAGAAGAGGCTGATAATGAAGGTGAGGGTGATAATGGGTGATAAATGACGTAATAATGGTTAATAGGAAGACTAATTTAATAGACTCGTGGTGGTGAAGGGGAGGGGGGGAGGAGGAGGAGGGGGTATAATGTGTTTATTTGTGTCTCTAATAACTGGGTTAGGTTAGGTTAGGTTAGGTTAGGGTTAGGTTAGGTTGGGTTAGGTTAGGTTAGGTTGTATTAGGTTAGGTTAGGTTGTTAGGTTAGGTTAGGTTAGGTTAAATTAAAGTAGAGAGTTAGGTTAGGTCAG